CCAGGGGCAGAGGTCGCCCAGCGCCCTCTTGCTGAGCGCTGGGAAGCGGTGGCTGGCATGGACCGCCGGGTCTGAGCCGAGGCGAACCCTGGGCAGCCGTATCTTCCGGTCTCCAGGTCCATCAGGATTCTCTGACTGTGAACCTGGTCTCTAGGGTTGGGGGGTGCTGGGGGGGCCGTCTCGGGACGCCCTCACCCGTCTGAAGGCGGGACTTCCGGCTCTGTCCCCCACCGGGGCGGGATTTCCTGTTTTCTTTCTGGAGAAGGGTCTTCGCTGGCCCCCGGGCGAGCTGGGGGCGTCTCCGGGCGGTGGAGAGAGACCCCAGGCAGTCACCCCGCCCGGCCCCGCGGGTGCATCCTCGAGTGCCTCCCACCTTCGAGCGGGAGGCTGGGGGTGGCGCTTGCAGTTTGACAGATGGTGGGAGCGGGGCTCCACTAGCCTCTTCCTCAGCTCTTCCTGGGGTCAGCTTCCTCACCTCCTGACCTCCTCCTAAGAGGCCGGTCCCCTCACCTCTCCCTGCCCTCCCGGGGGACAGCTCTCCCTTCCTTTTCCTCTCCCTAATCTTAAACTGCCCCAATTGAGGGGAGGGGCTTCTCCGTCTCTCAGCGCTTTGCAGGGTGCAGGACTAACTCCAGCAGCTGTAGGGACTGGAGACTCCCCAAGTCTTGGTTTCTTTCCTCTTGAGTAACTGGTTCCAGTGAGTCCCCAGAGAGGTCTGCCTGGAACTCCTCCTTTTTGTGCATGCTCTGAGATGGGGGTTGGGGGGATGGGCTCACCCCCATTACTCTCTGCAGCCCGGTCGTTATGTTAAGATCTAGGACAGAGAGGAATCTAACCCTGGTGACCCAAGGAAGTGAGAACACCAGGCCTAGCACTGCTAGGCTGTGTGACCTGGGACCAGTCATTTCCCGGCCCCGAGCTTCAGGGTCCTCCCTCAGATGGGGATGAGGGGCTGTGAGGCCCTGAGCACCTCCCATTACTCTTAGGTTTTAGTGCTGGGCAGACAGCAGTGTCAGCCCTGTCTACCCTTTGTAGCTGGAGCCTCCAGGCCAGCGCCGGAAGCTCTCCAAGCCTCACTTTCCCCATCTTGACTGGGAGGTCATACACCTTTCCTCACAAGGAAGGCAGGGTGGCATCCGGTGTTCAGAAAAGGGTGTGGCTTCAGACTCGGGCTGTCTGGCCCTGGTCCCAAAGCAGACTCTCCCTGGGCCTCCGTTGCAGTGTGAACGGGGTGATAACCGCTCCTCTCGGAGGGCTGGTGAGAGGGTGGGATGAGCACGTGGGTGGCACCCTCGGGCCCCTGCCTGGCACGAGGCAAGTGCTCCGGGGCCTGTTGGGACAGGTGCTGGTGGTGCTCTCATTGTGTGTGGCTTCGGCCAGGGTGAGCTCTGGGTGCCTCGTTTTAAAGAATGCTTCTTTGTTGTTGAACCTGGGTGCCTCGGTTTTGAGAAACAGTTTTTTTAAAAAAATAGATTTTTATTGATTTCAGAGACGAAGGGAGATAGAAACGTCAATGATGAAAGAGAATCATTGATGGGCTGCCTCCTGCACGCCCCCTACTGGGGATCGAGTTGGCAACCCGGGCATGTGCCCTTGACTGGAATCGAACCTGGGACCCCTCAGTCCACAGGCCGACGCTCTATCCACTGAGCCAAACCAGCCGGGGCTTAAGAAACAGTCTTGTAGGAAAGACAGAAGTTTTGCAGGCTGAACCCAGGTGCAGAACGGAGCTCGCACACCATTTTCTGACCAGCCCCACCCGCAAGCCGGTCGTGCTGGGCAAGGCTTGCTGCTGGCTCAGAAATGAGCCCAACAGGCCCGCCCTCAGGGGCTCCCACACTGGCTGGGGAGATGGATGTGGATCCAGACAGTACTCCCCAGAGAGAGATGTCCTAGAATGGGCGTCACTCAGATATTGGGGAGTCCACAGGGCAAGGTGTGGGGGCTGCCGGGATCTAGAGGTGAGGGAAAGAATGACAAGTAAATGGAAGGCCGGTGGTCCAGATGTGGGGGGAAGGCACCTTGACCAAGGCCTCAGACGTCTGCAAGGGGCTGGGAGCTTGTCCTCGGGGTTCTGGGGAGGGGCAGGGGCAGCTCCAGGCTGGAAGGACCCCAGCAGGGCCATGTGCTGGCCGGACTGGAGGCTGGAAGGCACCGGAAGAGGCTGGATGGGCAGGGCAGCGCTGTCCAATAGAAATACAATACTAACCGTACACCTGAGTTCAAAATCCCCATAAGCCACGTTTAAAAAGTAAAAAGAAAGCAGATGAAGTTCATTTTCACTATGTAATTTAGTCAGTTTGCCTAAAATACCATTTCAACAAGCAATCACCCTCCGATTGCTCTCGAGGTATTTAGCATCCCAGTGTGGCTCTCACACACACAGCACCTGTCACTTTGGACCTGCCCCATCTCCGGTGCTCCTCACTCACCTGTGGCCGGTGGCTCCCAAAGGCCAGTCCAAGAGGAGAGACGGGGCCAGGGGCACAGGGCAGGGCAGGAGGGTGGGATTGGGCGGTTAAGGTCTGGATGGGGAGGAATTCTAAGGGAATGGTGGGTTTGGGGGAAGATGCTGAGCTCAGCTGGGACGGGTGGATGGGAGGGGTGGGTGTCTAGGGACAGGTGGACACCCGGGGCTGAGTGGGGACAGTGCAGTCAGCCCAGTCTCAGCCCCCTCTGTCCTGCTCTGCCCGCAGGGCGCGGATGGCGTCGGGGCGCCCCGAGGAGCTGTGGGAGGCCGTGGTCGGGGCTGCTGGGAGCTTC